GGGCAACGAAGGAAACTTAGACTTCACGTTCGCCCAAGATGCACCAGAAATAAACGCATCCTGATGATTCATCATCAGGGGCAAAACATCCAGCACCTCATGCGCAGGTCCCGCAGGAACCTACGCGATGAAGGCAATAGTTAAACATCAATCAAAAGTTAACCCCGCAGGGGCACACCGAATGTATCCCAAAAGTATCATCGCCTTAACTATGATGCACCCACGCTTCAAACCTACCCTGTCATGTCAACATCCATGGCGTCAGCAGCGGGTGCATCATCGACTCATCCATCGCTAGTTTCCTGGCTCGGTTCAACACCTTCACGAGCCGCCTGACCTTAACCTCACTAGTGGCCGCTTCACCAGCAGCAGAGATGCCACAACCCTCACGCTGGTCGAAGAGGTTCCCGCTTTGTCGGTCCCAGTAGCGGAGGTCAAAGGATCCCAAGGCTAGGTCAGCTGACAAACCAAACAAGAACCATAAGCAACAAAATAAAAACCAACCAACAAAAAAGGGAAAAGCAATAAGGTAAAAGCCCTAATATACCTCTTGTGTGCCAGTCGTTGCCTCGCTAAAAGCAAGAGCTCGACTCTCGCCTTCCATCCAGAACTTCGTCAAGAACCGCGCGACAACATTTTTACAAAGGCGGTCCTTAGAAGGGCCTCTCACATCATCGATGCTGCTAGGAAAGTTGTGGTAGATGTGCCCCAGTTTCTTCAGATGATCGCATCCGGTGGCTTGAAAAGACCGCACAATGGCGAGGGCAGCCCTATGAGCTCCAAAATCTAAAACATTATTCAGCAGCTGAGCAAACTGGCCGAGCTCCGCTTGAAGCCATGTTGAAAATGCCACAAGATCGGCATCGGGCAACACCTCGCTCTGCTCCACGCCGCCCTTAGCAAAAACATCATCTAAGGCAACCTTTGCCTCTTGCATACAGGCAATCAAGGCGGCACGCGATTCCTCCAGCTTCTTGGCATTTTTCTTCACCAATTCCTCAACCTCCATATGAGCCACCTCGGCCCTTTCGTGAGAATCTTCAGCCTCCTTCAGATCCTCATCTCTCTTCCTCAAATCCCCACAAAGGTTAAGATTACGGCCCAACAATGCTTCTGCATCATCAACTAATGCTTTATTTTTCGCAATTGTCGCCTCCAGTGACTCAACCTGCCCCTTCAACCCCTTGTTTTTGGTCTCCAAATCAACTTTTGCCTTCTCAAGCACCGACACCTGCTCCTGCAGCTTAGTCTCGATGTGACCATGGTGCCGGCGTGCAGTTTGGGCGAGCATAATGGCTCTAATGCTAGCCACCTCTAGGTCCTCTATCAAATGATCCACCATTTCATTTGACAACAAAAACTCCACCTCCGACATGCAAATCCAACGATACGTGCTAGCCATGAATCGACGCTCCTCCTCCGTCCCAATCAATTGGCATCCGTGGAGGTATGGGCTGGTGAACAGATCAATTTCTTGCTCATCAGCGACTGGCATCATTAAGAGCATGTTTTCTAGAACCGGCACTAGGCTCATCCTCATCAGTAGCGACCTCACATCCTTCCCGTATGATATGAACACGGTGACGATGAGGCATCAATGCGGCTTCGACCGGGCGCGACTCAATATCCCATTTCTCTTTAGCTCCACCACCCTACAGCCCATGCTCCATGGACTCGACAAGTCGAGGGTTCTCTGACTCGTCGTGCCCGTCATCATCTTCTGCATCATCATCTTCGCTAGCACCAGTCCCATTGCCACTGCTGGATGAGCTAGACGCATCCACTTTGATTTCTTTAGAACCCTTGCTTCCATCCTTCTCCTCATCTTCCTCCTCATTCTCGTCATCTAAAATCTCTTGCAAGATAGGCAAGCTAGAAATGTTGGGCATCTTCTAGCCAGGAAGAGACCCCCAACCGCGCTCAGCCGCGGCACCGGTGAAATCATGGAGCCTAGCTTCGCAACCATGACCAGTGAGTCGACCGATGAGGTAGGAACCTTCGCTACCATAGCCCTATCAACCTTAGGTCCACCAGCATGTCCATGCCCACACCCACCTCGCTTGGACATGCTAGTAAGCTTGTCACTCGCCTTGGCCCTCTTCCTCTTCTTGCCACCCTCGGCATCTTTCAAATCAACCTGCGGCCAATTAGGGTAAGATAACCTAAGCAAATCAAAGGATCGATTGACACAGTGGCGATCAGCTAAGGCAATCCTTATCGCCTTAGTCTCGATGTTCCCAAGAGACCCAATGAGCTCCTCAACCGCCTCATAAACTTTCTTGTACACAGTCTTGACCCCAGCCACGGACGAGTTACTCTTCTGAAGCACCTTCGCCCAAGCCTACTTAACATTCACACCAAGCCCCTTCAAACCATGTTCCCCATACCTCTCATCATCCTTAACCACAAACCAAGCTTGATTGGCCCTCAAAGGCAAAACCTTCACACAAACAAATTCTTCAACCAAGTCACGCGCACACTGATGGCGCGACAAAATTCTGAGCGCATCCAAAACGGTGACACAACCATCAGTCATGATATCATCCGCAGTCACGCTATCAAGCCTTGTCAACTTCCCACAAAGACCAGCTTTGCCATCCAACTTAATGTAGAACCAGTTCTCCGTCCAGGGCGAAGCCCACTTGTTCTTCTGAGCTTGAACAGGAACCTTCGCACCATGACAATAGGCGAAGGTATAAACCTCGAACTACAACTGCACTGTCTTGCCCTCAACGGTTATCTTCTAGGGCTGAGGATGAACCCGGTAAAGTAGAATGAAGCCCTCAAGGTCCATCTCAACACCTTGGGACTTACAACCCCAAACATAGATACTAAGCTTCACAAAACTAGAAGGGTTCAACTGGTGAAACATGAGATTGAACCTCTTCAACACTCCAACAACAAGAGGGTGCGGTGGAAACCTCAACCCGACCAAGAAGAACTCCTTGTAAACAATGATCTCATCATCATGAGGGCCGGGAACAACCTCTCCCTCCGATGGCCTCGCAAGATCTCGAGCGAACCAACCAGCCTTCGCGTACTCATCCAAATCACTTGAGGTAACCCTCGAAAGACTAAACTCAAAGCTTACTGCAGCATCAGAGGCAGAATCAGCGACATTAGAGCCATCTATAGCTTTGCGGTTTTGTTCACACGAGCCATCGAACTACAAAACAAAATGGCCAGCAAACTCATTAGCAAAAACAAAATTGAAAAGGTCTCCAAGCTCAAGCGACCAATAAGTACCTTAATGAGCACGAAGAAGCAGATGAAGCCAGCAAAGCACAAACCCTCGCACAAAAGCAACCCTCACAAAAATGAACCCTCGCTCAGCAATCACAGCAGTAGCAAGCAGCCAGCAAACAAAAAGCGCAACAATGAAAAACCCTAAACTCACCACAACTATTTATAGGCACCCATCACCCACATCAAAGGAAGGCGGGCATCCCATATCCCGAGAAAATAGGAGCCAAGCGAGCGCAACAAATCCCGAGGAAAAAGGAGCAGGGCAAAACAACCTCCGACAATCGCACACCAGACCAAACCGCAAAAAAGGCCTAGTTAAACCAAAAACAACAAAAGCCCAACAGTGGTCGAGCGCAAAACGGGGCGTCGCTAGGCCGGGCCGCTGACTAAGTACCTTCGCCTGCCCCTTCCTCGGATATTTATGTTGCTCCGACCTATCTTGCTGGGCCCGATCCTCGAGGGGCTACAGTTGGGGGGAGGTTCCCTCGGCACCATTCCTCCCCTGGCCCTCGACCCACAGCCGGCTAAACTAACTTCCCCCGCTGCGAGTACTAACCCATGCTGCGAGGGTTTCTTGTTCGTTATGTCTTCCCCTTGTGTTCAGGTGGCGCGCTCGGGGTCAGCTAGGTCGGGAGAGCATGGCCAGAAACTAGCGAGGACGGTGACGATGAGCGGACCCTCGCTGAAGGTGTGTGAAGGTTGCCGCCCACCGCGGGAGGGGACCATCCCGACAACGGTGTCGGTCCCACCAAGGGGATGGGACCCGGGAGTTGTTAGCCATGGGAAGAAGATTACCGCCGTACCCTTAGATTGTATATAGTGCTCAGCCTCCGAGGCCAACCCTAATCTAATTCCACCTTGCCTCCGGGTATGATCTATAAATACCCGGGATGCTCATGTAAGAAACATGTTGAATCTTTTCCGGACAAATTAATGGCCATTTAATCCGTATTTTTCCATCACCTCGTTTTCCATTATCCTGGCTTTTCCGATACCCTCGCTCGCTCATTCCTACGGCACAGCTCAGTCATCTCCCTGTGGGAAACCCTCGGCCTCTGCCCCCGTGTTTCCCATCGAGGGTAAGAGGCTAGGAGTAACCCTACAAAAATAGCAAAGAACGCAGCAGCAAAAAATTTTAAAAATCTGAATAGAAAAAACGAAGCAGCAAAAAAGAATAAAAAAAAAAAAATAGCAAAAAAATATTGGAAAAAAGAAGCAGCAAAAAAAGAATAAAAAATGAAAATAGCAAAAAAAGAATGAAAAATGAAAATAGCAAAAACAAAGAAAAATAAACTTGGCCCATGCAGGTCTCGAATCTGCGACCTTCGCGTTATTAGCACGACGCTCTAACCAACTGGGCTAATAGGCCAGTTGTTTATTTGTTCAATAATTATTTTAAAAACTTGTGTAATTCAGTCCGACAGAACGCAACAGAGTTTACCAGCTACCATCACAAAAGAAACTAATGCAATAGTAATTATCAGTGAAGTCTCAAGTAACTTTTGCAATAAGCAGCATATCAGCTGATGTATTACAATTCCAGCAATAGGTTACAAGGATTAGATTTCCACATGATATGAACAAAATCCAATCAAGGCATGCACAGTAAATTTCAGGCCAACTACTGGCATGCATGTACTGTTTGCAAATATATTTACACGCTTTTCCAGCAAGAATCCTCCAAACAATGCTTCTGATGAACTGAACCAACCAGATGTACACACCTGCAGACTGCAATGCCATGCACCCATGGTTCACCGCCCGCTCCACGCAGCAAGGACGCCATGGAACACCTCGGCCACGAGGTCCCTGTCGGCCGTCTGCAGGAACGCGTTGAGGTCGTCGTGCATCTCGTACACCTTCCTGAAGTCCACCAGGAACCTCAGGCAGCCGCCCTTGAGCCTGGGCAGCCGGTACAGGTGCGCCGTCTGCAGCCGCTCCAGCACATTGTCCGTGTCGATGTCCTCAAGCAGGCTCTCGTGGCAGGCCTCCCTGAGGTCGTCGATGTCGTACTTGTCGGCAGCGCGGAGGAGCGCCAGCCGGTTCGCCAGGAACTCCTCACCGCGCACGTCGCCGTAGATGTAGCTGAGGAAGGCGTGGCACGCGTCCACGGTCATGTCGGAGATGTCCACGGTGGAGAGCTCCTTCTCCCGGAGGTCGTGTGAGAACATGCTCCGGAACACCGGCGACCGCGTCGCCAGGATCGCGCGGTGCGCACGCACGCTGCCGTCCGCCGCGTTGATGGTGATGTCGGTGAGGATGTCCTCGTGCAGCATCCGAGCCAGGGAGGACAGGGCGGTGCTGTCTGAACACTGCTTGATCTGGCGGGAGGCCCAGATTGAGGCTGGTTCGCCACCCTGACGAAATGCAGTTCATGGAAACCATCAGATACAATACAGACTGTTACAAGTAATCTAGAACACAAGGAGAATACCGAACGCTTGTTTTTTTTTTGAATTGTTCATGGCACACAGGGTCAATACTGATTTTTCCTTTTTTTTTGAATTGTTGGTTGCCAGTGAAATTCTTCCTGTAACTGATGTGTTGATGGCATGTTGTAGTGTCTTGACGTTAAGATTTGCTGTGAACAAATTGAAAGTCTGGCCAGGCTCTCCCAAAAAGGTATTTAGACAATCCTTTTTGTTGTCAGCTAATGATATTAATAAATCAGTTGCAGTATTCGCAAAATTTCAGTTGCAAAGAAAGGCTGTCCTGACATTAGATTGACCTTGGGTGACAGGTGGCAGCAGATCTTGCTTTCCTAATTAGTTTCTGTTATGCTTAATATAGCCTCTGACTCTGAAACATGATTGTCATGATGAAACAACATCTCCAAGTGTCGTATCGACATCGCACATAATATCAACTGACGACAATAACAGACCACTGGGTTGTTTATTTCAACGCAAGAAAGAAGATGGAGAAGCTTCTGTACATGTGAACCTGTGTAAGCCTAGATCTTATTATTTCAGGTGAGTCAAGGGCACCACTCCACGTAGCCTACCACTTACTAATTGTTGTTGTACCAACCATTGACAAAAAAAACACAAGAAGACAGAGAGGCAATGCTTACAGATGGATCAGCGACCTTCAGGTCAAGAAACTCTATCTCAATCACAAATCTCCCTGTCACAGTGCTATCGATTGCCCACACAAAACCGTCGTGTTTCAGCTGTTTGTCGAAAATCCCTGCATATATGCAAATCACCTGTTAGTTAAAAATAACAATAACTAACATTTGGTGTCATCAGTCACTCATTCCCACTTGCTCTGTGCACATTAGAACGAAGAACTCAGCTGGAAATAACAATAGCTGCCAATTTCAAACCTCGCTGAGTCACTGCTCATTCATATATTCAGAAATATAACATTTTGTATTGCCTGGTTTTTACTACTCAAATTCTGCATATATTCTTGTAGCCAAATCAAATAAACTGCAGATTTCCTTTCATTTTCATTATGACTAACGTACAAACTGAGAATTCAAACATGTCACCATTTTCTATACATGCCAAATATTAAAAGTGGAGGTATGATAAATAGTCCACCCATTTTCTATCCATGCCAAATAGTAGAAGAAACTTACCTGGGTGGACTATGGTCTGTTGATTAGGTGGAAGAGATATGAGAAGTTTGGTGACAAAGGAAGCTATTGGGGCTGAGGGGCCGTTCTTGGGAGAATTCGAATTCTCTGCAAAGAGCTTAACACAAGTTTGCTTGTTATTTCTCTCCACAGATAGGTACCTTCACATTGCAGCAACAGAAAACTTAAGTTAGCTGATGGCAACATGACATCAATTTTCACTTGTATTAATGCTAAAAAGAACTGATGATGGTTTTAATTGTGTCAATGTGTATCATGACTTATCCATCCAGTTATCATATGAAAAAAAGATTAAGGAAGCATAGAGATTGATCAAAGATTTTCTTAGTAATAGCATAAAAAATATTAGAAGTGGAGGTTCAAGAAAGTGAACCTTTGTCTGAAATATCTTTGTTTCAAAGCAAAGTCCGCTTCCCTCACGCACCAAATGTGGTTAAGAAAAAATCCTGACTACATATAGGTTGGTGAGGAAAGGTATCCACCTATAACTAAAAGGAACCTAGATATAGTTTTGGTTGGAAGTATAAATTTAGCTATTTAAGCGGATACAACCAAAGTTAGTGAACGAGGTACCAAATTAGAATGTATTATACTGGTTGGGTTGCCAAAGAGGCCAAAATTCAGACATGATGCTATACTGCCAAAACTCTGTTTTTTTTCAGCCTCAACAAAGAACAATATCCTGATGGAAGTTCAGTACCACACAACAAGAAAAATTAAAACTCACCAACTTATCGAATAGCTCACTATCAATCAGATTATCAGAACTACTATATGAAATGAACAACCCAAATTAACGGGAAGACAAGCGATACATCATGAACTTGTAAATCAGCAAGCTACCTCCGGAAACCTCAATCTAAAGAAACAACATCCATCCAGAATTCAGAAGCGCATGATTCACACACAAATCAGGAGAACTTGAACAAGCAGTAACAAATCACTACCAAAGTTGAAACTTTTGCACCCTATCCGACATGAGAACCAAGTACAAGCACAGACTTTCTGAACGAATCTGCTGAGAAGCAGAGAGACATGGAAGGGGAGGGAGGGAGCAAGGGAGGAGACGGACCAGTTCCAAAGGCCGATGCGGAAGGGGAGTGACTTGCGGTAGGTGTAGCAGGGGAGCGCGTCGACGCGCCATTGCGCGAGCCTGGGCGCCGCCTCGACGCGCGCGCCGTCGGTCATGGTCCCCCACGTCGCCGCCACCGCCGCCACGACCTCATTGACGCAGCCCAGCAGCCCCAGCGCCTCCCCTGCCTCCTTCCCCAGGTTGCCTCCCTCCCCCGCCGCAGCCGCTCCTCATGTACAAGCAGTCAAGCACGAGCACGAGCACGAGCACGCCGCCGATCAGACCTCCTCGACCACGCACTCGGCCTCACCGCCACACCCGGCGCCGGGGCAAGAACACAACCTGACTGGCCACGGACGTCAAGGACCAGTAGGACTGGCCAAGCGAGACTACTGGTTCTTGGCAGGCGGGCGCCACGGAGTGGGAGGGTGGTGTTGTGGCGGTGGCGGCTAGGCTATATGGTGGCCGAATGAGCGGAGGGGGAGAGAGTGAATTCGCCACGCAACGGCATGGGCGACGTACGCGACCGAGCTCCGAGCCCTGTTACTTCTACGCGAGTGGAACACGGATGGATGGTGAATTATTCAACTATATAAATTTGATCGATGTAGATAGATAATTGGGTGTCCCTTCCGCACCACTTCAGGCACCACTCTCCCTGCTTCTTTTTTCAATGATTTTATCCTTGGTGCAATGATCGTTCCTTCATTCATGGATCTACTCCCTCCGGTTTCTAAAAAAACGTCGTTTCTAGATGGTATTAAGTCAAACACTTTAAATTTTGACTATAAATAAATTCGTTTGAATTGAGTTTGAAATCATAAAAGTAATGTAAGTAGATTCATCTCGAAATGTAGTTTCATAAAAGTATATATTGACTATATTTTATAAATATTTTATAAAAAAAGTAACAGTCAAAATTGTTTTTTAAGACGTGTCGCTGTTAAAACGACATCGTTTAGAAACCGGAGGAAGTATTGGTTTGGTGCATACGCATGCTCTTGGAACAGGAGCAGAAAATGACGCCCAATTACTGGCCTCCGAGGTGTGGTTAGTTAGTGGATCACTAATAACAGCCAGAGTAAGCAGAGCGACGATTCTGCAGTTGTATGCAATGCATCTACTAACGTAGTATCTTTGTACATGGACCCCTGATTTTCTTTTTTATTTGAAAATTGAAAGTTGGTTCTTTTCTTAACTGAAAGATCTGTTCACTTTTGACTCCAGGAATGCTGCAAATTGATTGTCGCCTCTGCTTTGCTTCCCCACCTGCCTTTTCTTCCCCAATTCCTGAACTGATTTGCCCACATCACAGCACTTGGTGAGGCCCATGCAACAAGTGGGGATTAAGAAAAGATGGACGGAAAGAATCAAGAGCATGATTATTGTTGGCTGCTGAGATATGCACACATCGGTCAGGACGTTAAGGATCTCGGCGCAAAAAGATTTTTTTTTCTCAGAGGGGGAAAAATTGCACCACTATTATGCCTTGGATTGCATGCACGCTAAGCAAGTTGCGAAGCATCGCTGCAGAGAATCCAGCCGGCAGCCGCAGGGGTTAACAAGCCATTGTCACATGACCTTGACACATATGATATTTCTTTTCTAGGAGGTTTAATTTATTGTCTGTTTGACAGGATGAACAGTCAAAAATTTCATCTGGTGCAGTGTGAGTAGCGGATGACAGCTGCTGTTGATGTTGCAGTATTTGGAATTGGAGATCCCAAGTGGACAAGGAAAGTATCTGAGCGATTCCATGTGGGCCCGGCACCTGTTGCCGGCTGGATTCTCTCTCCGAACCACCGCCGGCGGCCCAGGATGAGAAGCAACCGCATGGGCCCCGCGTTGGAATCTTGGATTCTTTCTGGCTGCGCCGATGCAGCAGCTTCTGTGGTCCAGCATTCCAGCAGCACATGTAGGTTTCTCTCTCTCAAAAAAAAAAAAGCAACACATGTAGGCAGTTGCTGAATCTTTTTTTGCAGGACCAGAGCTCGTTTGGCATGGCTTTGACTCTTTTTTTTTATACAAAACTAGGTCTCTCCCGCTTTATTACCAATAAAGCGCAAACATCTAGTTTAAGTTCACATCGTTAAAATGCTCGCCCATCAAAACACAGCAGGATAGCCTAAAAGCTAGCACAACCAGACCCGTTACATTGAATTGCACCTATAAAGTCCATCTCCAAAGACGGAGAACCCAACATGGCTTCGACTTTTATCTACTAAGGGTGTGTTTGGTTGGTTCCCAAAGTTCGCCAAATCTCGTCACACCTCCGACGTCCCACTTTCTATTGCTGTTTGATTGGTTCCCACACCTTTGGCGTAGCCACAATTTCCTAACAGCAAGTAAGTAATTTTCGACACCTCAGCTCGCCAAACCTTCGATGACTGATTTCAACGCTGCACTTACGAGTCGCGATGCAGTTCCGGCGTCCTGTGGCCATAGGCCAAACAAGCACTTAGATTTATTTCAGCAGAAGAGATAAAAAGAATACTTTGTCTGAAATGACACGGGTAGTAAGCCTAATTTTTTACAATTTAGCCATTTTTTGAAGAAAATTTACGTTTGGTCCCTGGAGACTTAAACTCATCTTTGGACCCTGGCGGTCGGCGCCAGACTCATGGCGCCGAGGTAACACGTCTCGGCACCACAGATCTTGACATTGAGGTGCCTGGCCAAGATCCTAAGTGGCATTGACGTGACCGATACCTCGGCGCCAGAATACATGGCGCCGAGGTCGATGCCAAGATCTGTGGCGCCGACCTCGGCGTGGCGCCGACATGGACGTCTGCGGCGCAGAGGGGTGGAGCGGCGCAGAGGCTGCGTGCCAGCTAGTGCCCTGCGCTGCCCCTCTAGGGCTTTGTCTCGGGAATCGCGGGAGAGAGAGAGAGAGAAGGAAGAGGACACAGAAGAGGTAGGCACCGCCGTTCCGTCCACTAGTGCTGCGGCTGCAGCGTGTACCGCTAGGCGTGCGAAGGAGTGAGGCATGGGTTAGTCTGCAAACCTACATAGCATAGAGGTAAGGTCCGCGCAGCCAAGGCGCTTGTACCTAAGGCCTTGTTTAGATTTGGGTTAGGAATTAGTATTTGGCACTGTAGCATTTTTGTTTGTATTTGACAATTATTGTCCAATCATGGTCTAACTAGGCTCAAAAGATTCGTCTCGTAATTTACAATCAAACTGTATAATTAGTTATTTTTTATCTACATTTAATACTCCATATATGTGTCCGAAGATTTGATGTGATGAAGAGAGTGAAAAAACTTCCAATCTAAACAAAGCCTAAGAACTAAAAAATAAAAAAAGTACCATGGCGCAGCCTGTGCGTTTGTATTCAGTCAAGAGATTTGATATGGCAATAAGAGTTACTTCTTCTATGCGAGATTATCTAGCTTCCGTATCATAAATTTAACTCAATTTATAGAAAATATATGTAATATTTGTATTTTTAAATAAATTTATTAAAAAATTAGATTCAAAGATCTTTTCAATAATACCAATTATGTGTCATAAATATTTAATATTTTTAATATATATTTTGTCAAAGTTATTTATCGAAAAACAACAGATATTTAGGAAGGAAGAGAGTATTGCTTTCCAAGGACAAGAGAAAAAAAAAAAGCAATACAACGGTTCAGTAGGTGACAACACGGTTCAGACCGAACCAACAAGAAGGCGAGGGAGTGAGACTGCTGAACCGTGTTGTCACATCTATTAAACTATTGTATTGTTTTTTTATTTTTCTCTTGTCCTGGAAAGCAATACTCCGTCCCTCTCTAAATATATGTTGCTTTCGTTTTTCAAAAATACAAATGTTACATATATTTTCTATAAATTGAATTAAATTTGTGATACGGAAACTAAAAGCGCTAGATAATCTCGCACAGAAGAAGTATCTCTTATTGCCATATCAAATCTCTTGACTGAATACAAACGCCAAGGCTGCGCTACTCTTTTATTTTTTAGTTCTTAGGTACAAGCGCCTTGGCTGCGCGGACATTACCTCTGTGCTATGTAGGTTTGCAGACTGGTCCATGCCTCACTCCTTCGCACGCCTAGCAATACACGCTGCAGCCGCAGCACTAGTGGATGGAACGGCGGTGCCTGCCTCTTCTGTGTCCTCTTCCTTCTCTCACTCTCTCTTCCGCGATTCCCGAGACAAAGCCCAGAGGGACAGTGCAGGGCACTGGCTCAGACGTCCATGCTCGGTGCTAGAGTACGTGGCGCCGAGGTCGGCGCCACTCGATGCCATGTATTCTGGCGCCAAGGTACCGATCACGTTAATATCACTCAGGATCTTGGTCAGGCATCTCGGCGCCAAGATCTATGGCGCCGAGACGTGTTATCTCGGCGCCATGAGTCCTGGCGCCGACCCCTATGGTCCAAAGATGAGTTTAAGTCTCCCAAGAGGCCAAACGTTAATTTTCTTTAAAAAAGGGCTAAATTATAAAATATTAGGGGTAGTAAGCGTGCCAAACAAGACTTAAGCCGAGTAACAAGTACAAAGGTAGACGGTGAAAGCAATGGGGTTGACTCCATGGTTAACGTACAAGTACCTCATCAACGGATTGGTTCCAATACATAGGCCCTGTTTGGGAGGGCTTCTCCTCATAAAATGGCTCCGACTTCTAAGGATTATTATGCATTGTAGCAAGAAGTCATTTCTCTCACTTTCTAAAAATGAACTAGGAGTCAATAAAACCAATATTTTTGGCTTCACCAGCTATGGATCATTTGAAGGAGCTAGAGCCAAAGAAGCCATGTCAAACGGGATCGTACTCTCCTCATTCAAAAGTTTGTTCTGATATAAATTTCTGACTTTGATTTAATTTATAGGCACATATAATATCATTTTCTAAAGTTATAAAAAATCATTTATGATAAAACTAAAATATGTTACATTTTCTGAACTGATGGTGTAGCTTGTACAATAATTCCTATAAGATTTCCACGTTACCTTTAGTGAAAAAAAAGAAAAGGGTATAACCGATAACATGACTATTGGTTGGAATGAAGAAAATATTTGGTAAGAAAGAAAACCATTCGGCAGCACTCAAATGGACCCCAACAGAAAGAGACACCAAGGCAAACCCCCAAAGGGATCTCCATTGTTTTC